CTTCCTGTCACGTGTGTGCACGCAGGCAGTGTCTGCTTTACTTCCTGTCATGTGTGTGCAAGCATGGAGTTTCTGTTTTACTTCCTGTCACGTGTGTGCACGCATGCAGTGTCTGCTTTACTTGATGTCACCTTCCCTTCTCTTTGTCTCAGGCATCTTCTCACTGGTCCCTGCAGAGCTGAGAGGAAGTGCTTGGGAAATGGTGTCAGTGTTCCTCCTATACCACCAGAGATTAGTGAAGACCCCAGAGGCCTTGTTCCCACTCTTGTGGTGACTGTCTGGGCTCACTTAGCCCGAATGGTTGAGTGAGGTGCGCTCTCCTCCCAGGTCACTTCTGCCTTTTTACAACTACTAGACAGTGAAGGTGTTTCTATACCGGGATCAGAGGACTCTGTATAATAATGGTGGGAGCATGTGCTCCAAACCCCACTGGGATTCAGTGACAGAGGTCATCTCTTGCATCATGGCATAGGAGGGGGCCCCCCGGTTCATCTTGTGGGTCTGCCCATGTGCCTGCTGTACCGCTTCCTCTCTGACATTTTGGGTTTCCTATTAGGCTGAGTAAATGGAAAGTTCAACTTGGGTTTGATCCAGCAGACTGGGTCCAGAGACTGGGTGTCTCTGAAAACTTCTAGGGACTCTCTTTGAGGAGCAGGAGACAAATTTGCAATGGAAAAAAGAACAGTATGGGGGATCAGGCATCTTCCCTACCAGAGGCAGCCTGCTGGGATGATTTCTCCAAACTGCAAGTCCTTCAGGTTTCCCCACAGACCCACAGATAGTTTTTCTTTACAAAACTGCTTGGCCACATTACTCAGCTGGGATCAGGAGAACAGTAGCCAGTGAATGGATCCCTTAACTACAATACAATTCTGCAGTAAGATTTATTGTGTGAAAGGGATGAGATCCCCATGTGCAGTGTTTCAAGTTATTCTGGCAAAATTAGCCAATGTAGAAAAGGTGTAAGTTAGGATCCATCAGGATACTGGTGAGATAAAATCTATGTGGCCTAAATCTCAAGAAAAAGATGATGATATCCCAGTTAAATGAGCCATGATCTCCCTTCCCCCTCCTTGTGGAGGGGCTAGACTGCACCTCCTGGGAGGAGCTGGGGTCCCCATCTCCACAGGGTCAGGAAATAGAGACAATGGGATCTTCCCCCCCATTTTCAGGAGGAACCCAGTTAAGTCAGGGAACCACCATAGCTCCAAGAGGGTAATTTTCTCTTTGGCAAATACCCAAAGGGGCAATGATGCCACCACAGATCAGCCCACAGGACTTGTCTTGGTCCATTCTCCATTTTTCACCTTTAGTTTACATTAAAAACAACACGCTCACAATGGGATGACCCAGGGAAAATGGAAAACTTGTTTTCCTCAGTATTTGCAATCCACAACCCCACTTGGGGGAGATGTTCAGAATATGCTTAACACCTTAGTGACCTCAGAGGAACAGACAATGGTTCTAAGCAGACTGCATCATGCTGGCTCTCCTGGCAACCCAGTAAAGGAGCCCCCACAGGTCTCGGCAGCCACCTCCAACCAAGGGCGGAATGTGAGCAGCAGAGACAGACCCAAGCCAGCTTTTACTGAGATTGCTTCCTGGCTGTCCTCCACAAAGAAATTAGACAGAAGCCTAATGAAAGCCCTTCAGAATTCTTAGAGCAGATTTCTGAAGTGTATAGTCAGTATACACACATTGATCCAGAAGTGCCAGCAAATTCTAAAATGGTAAATATGATTTTCATCAGCCAAAGCACTTTTGACATTTGGAAAAAGTTATGAGAAATGGATGAGCCTTGAGTATGTCTATGTCTCAATTGGGAAATAGTTTTTAAGATGGTCACTGATGGAAATGAGAGGACAGAGAAAAAGGAACAGCAAAAAGTCAAACAGACAAGTTGTTGTTTTCACTCAAGGAATTCCAGATCGCAGCATGGACTCCCCTCACATTGTTAGGGAGGGCAGTAAGAGGAGTCATGAGATGACCAGCAGGTAAGAGCCTCTGATGCGCAGGCTGTCTGTACAGCAGTGGGCCTGCCCCAGCAACAGGGTTAGTCAATATCCTTCTTGGTTGAGTCCAAGGGGAGTGTCTAAGGTAGAACCTCACATCCCAGGCCTCAGACGTCCAACAAAAATGGACTTCCCATTGTGGGTGCCAATCAATATGCCTACCGCCATCAGGAAGGGCACTGGGAAAAGAGACTGCCCACACCTTTAAAAGGCAATACCAGGAAGAAATCCCTTCCCACCCATCAGAGCAAGCAGGAAGCTTGAAGCTGAGTATAACGAGGATGGGCCTGGAATGACGGGGCCAGGTATTCCTCCTGACACAGACAACACCCTTCGTATTTCTCACATGAAGCTCTGGGTTGTGATGATAGTAATGTGCTTCAGGAAGCAGAGAAATTCGCATTAGGCCAGCCCAGCACCACGTGCACTCCTCACTGTGTGCTCCCCTCACTGAAACAGAAAGGAGGATATTGACTAACCTCTGTGGCTGTTGCCTGCTCATCAAAGGCTCTCACCTGCTAGGTCATTTCATGACCCCTTGACTATCCTCCCTAACAATGTGAGTGTCTACCTTCTGTCCCATAGACTTCAGGGAGTGTTGCCAGGAGGATACTAAGACACTGATGGCAAAGCTTGCTGGGATTACTAGCTCCTAGTTATGGAGCATATGCCAACAGAGACATGGTTAGAAATCTTTCTGCAACTTTAGGATTAATCACAGAAAAATTCACAGAAAAAGCCAAAGATCCCTCAGCTCGCTAGCTCAGGTAGTCCTAGATAATTGGGCAGCACTAGCTCTTCTGTTGGCTAAACAAGGCAGAGTCTGTGCAGCGTTGAATACTACCTGCTGCATCCATATAAATACCTCAGAAGAAGTTGGAGCCTGAATAGGAAAAATGTGCCAACAAGCTGTGTGGCTCCAATAGGTATCTACTAGTGATCCCAAACATGATTGGTTTTGGGGTTATTCACTTGGATTCCCAGAATTTCAGATTAGTTCTGCAGGAACTCCTGTAGGTGGGACTCTTATTCCTTACCCTAGTGCTCATCATCTGTTTCATAATCTGCTATTCATTTAAGTACTGTGCTAAGACTGTAAATGAAAGTAGTAATGTTCTTGTCATGCAAACCTGCAAAAACAGTTTCATTCCTCTTAACCTGGGCTCAACCTCAACTACAACCCTCATTAGAAGGAAGAAGCCAGAGAGGTGTTGGCCCTTATCCATCTCATTAGCTCACACCTCAGGGATGAAATGGAATCAAACACAGGGGGAACTGAAACCACTCTTTATAAATTAATAAGGGGGTACTAGGTGAGAATTCTGGTAGGGGTGTAAAACTATGCAAAGGCACAGGTAAATTTAAAATAATAATAATAACCAGGCATTGTCCCCTAGTTTGCTTTCCTATACCTACTACTCAGGAGTTACATGGCTGATAGTCCTAAAGATTCTTAACTTTCTCCATAGGTAACATCACCCTTATGAAACCTAAGGCTAGTTTTTGAGCTGTCTGCCAGGCCCTGCATTCCAGGTGATCAGCTGACCCACCCAGACCAGTGGCCCCTACCAAAGAACTGACTCAACTGGTCTTGTGATCCCCCCACCCAGAAACCAACTCAGCATAAAAAGAAAATTTCTATACCCCTATGGTTCCAGCTCAAACCCAGCCAATCAGCAGACCCAACTGCACAGTCTGCTGCCCACTAAACTATCTTTGAAAACCCTTTCTCCAAATTCTTGGGTGCACAGATTTGAGAAATCCCTCCTGTCCCCTCCCTTGGTGCTCTGTGGACTAAGCTCTCTCAGTTGTAACCCTGTCTGTCGCCAAGCACTGGCTCTTCTCTGTGTAGTGAACAATATGACTTGGTTGGGCTGTAACACATTTGTAGTAATAAAACTTAAAATTCTCTTCTAAAAATGTTTCATATGTTAAAAATATGGCTTTGGTCAAACAATGTTCTAGTAAAGCTATCAGACCTAACAATATAATTATGTTGCAGCTTCTAAATCCTTTTTTGTATAATGGATTTCCTGCTTCTAAAGCACTTTTATATATTATGATATAATATTTTAATGGAATACTTTCAGAGAATCATAGAACATTTGAAGCTAGAA